TGGAAATCTGCAGGCAGAGGCCAAAAACCACTGCAGCAAAATAAAACAGAGAGGAATAAAACCCATTTATCTACTATCTCACCATCCGCAGCCGGCTTGTAAAGAAACAGACAGAAACTTCTCTATCTGTTTACCGTTATTGTTTTTTTGCCACTCATAAAGCCTCACTTCTGGCTGCTGCTTTTCCTCCTCCTCCCTTATCAAAAGAGTTATGCGTTGCGCTCGCATGATCTGTATCTTTAAATGTGATTGAGGGTATTTGCAGGGGGTGTTATTGGATTGTGGTGTTATTGTCTCACCTTTTCCCTCAGTGTTTTTAATGCCGGGATGGATATCCGCTCCAGCAGCACTGATCTCACTGTTCTGCTCATTAGGCCGGATTCTCAGAGACTAGTGCTTCGCAACAATAAGACACGCACTTCTGTAGTCCAGCCATTACCGAGTTTAACAATGTGCACCAGCCAGAAAAGTCCATTATTCCTGCAGCTCATCATCCCAAGCATCCACACGAGACAAAGGGGCTGTGAAACCGCTTCGGTGCGAAGGCCCATCTATCACTAAAGTCAGGAGCGGAGACAGGGGGGGTAAGAAAAACATGTGGTGCAGATACCCCATACTGGGAGCTCTGGCAGCATATGGGAGTCGCTGTAAGGCAGCTTTAGGGGCTAAACGTTGGTTTTTAATGAAAGTTTCTCACTCAAGAAAGAGAAAAAAACATTAAATCATAATCTAATCAGCAGTTTATTAACAGGATCTGGTTTCGATTAAACTGATATGAAACCACAGTCTGCTTAAAAAACTAAATTAAAACAATTTGAACATGTTGTTGCTTCTGAGACATTTTTGATGTCAAAGTAAAAATATTTACATGTCATAATAAGAGAAAACATCTACGCTATTAGATGAGTGTAGATACTAATAGATAGAATAAAGGAGAAATATCTGTTTTTGTCTCAGTGGACAAAGTTAAGGTAAATGTGAGAATGCAGACAAAGATACAGAAACATGTAGGAATAACTTACAGGAAGGCCAAACGTACAAGTTATTAAAAATAGGATACTCAGGTGAAAAGTAATACTTCATATCAAATGTATATTTTCTTGAAAAAGAAGTGAAAAATCTTGAAATGAAAAGGTTTACTGGTTTGTTGGGAGCTGTGCTGGTTTCAAACTGCAGATATTTTTCTTGTCTTTCCTCCTTTCTAACATGTTTTTGCTCGTTTGTTTGTCGTCATGTCCAGCTTAACAGAGTTTGGTACCGGTCGGGAAAAACAACTCCGTTTTTTAAACTGAGCCGATCTGGACCAGGCCGGGCTAGGCTTAGCTGGGCTGACCTGAGCCGATCCGAGCCGGGCTGACCTGAGCCAGGCTGTGCCGAGCCGGGCCGGGCCGAGCCGGGCCGGGCCAGCGAGCGCTGGCAGAGTGGGGAACCGTTTTCTGCTGGAAGTATTAAAGAGAATCTCGTTGAGGGAGCAGCTGCTCGTTTAACAGACCTGTCACTGAAATCAAAGAGCTCAATCAAAATTTGATCAATTAATTGATC